GGTTGGTCAATTTATTGCCATGCAAATTAGATGAAATCCTGACTTGAATGATAAAATATAAAACATTTTGTTTTCATAATTATGACGAATGAAAAGATGTAATACTAGTAGGTCTCTTTTTAACAAAATGTAGTTATGTATACAGTACAGAACTGAAACAAAAATTTTGACTATATATTCTACAGCAGAACCTGTAGAATATATTTTATTCTGCAAGTATCTTGACTCAACAAAACTGCTCCAAGCTAGCAAAGCATCATATGCTTCATACCAGGGGAAAAAACCCTTTTTTCTCTAACACCCCACTGCTCTGAATGGTTAGTTTGCCAATCAGTTGCCATACCGTGCCAACACTAGGCTGTAGTGAGAGATGCTTTGGGCTCCACGGTTGGGAACCTGAAAATAGATATACAGCAATTGTGAAGAACTACTTCAAGAACTTTCTGCTTGGGAACCATCTATGCTCCACTCATTAAGATTTGCTTTCCATACTGATAAAATTACACACATACTACATCCAGACATATTTATGTTACGCTGCTATGGAGTTCAGGTAAGTTTGTTATGCAAGGACTTTTTTGATGCTTGAAAATGGATAAACAATATAAATGAGAAAACTTTCTCAATTTAATTGCTTTGGATCCAGTATAAAATATCTTGGGTCTTCCTCAGATGCTGTGTCCCCTTCATTTCTATACACTTAAAAGCAGCATCACACAGAGAGCATCAGATGATTCAAGAGAATTATATGGGTTTCCTCTGTTACTCCATTTTTGAAGTGTATAGAAATGAGAGGTTTAAAGACAGGCAAGCATAGACTCCAGCAGTCTCCTGTGCACAGAAACTACAAAAAGCAGGTAATATTATGTGGGACGGGAAATGCTGTATTTCTCCATCTTAGCTTTTTTGTGAAACAGGAGGAGGTGATCCAGTATGATCGGGTGAATAAATTAGCCAGTTCCTTCACAGATGGAATGTGAGGCAAAGAAGAAGATTGCGAATGCTCCCCTGTGGCATGAGGTCCTTAGATTTCATACATGAAGTTTAGAAGGAAGAGATTTTATGAAAGAAAAGGTGACTGATTTAACAATCCATGTTTCTAAATACTCTGTATTCTATAAAGCTAGTTGACAAAATATTTGTTGTTGTTTGCTGTCAAGTTGGCTTCTTCATGAAGAAAATTAACAAATGAGTCACTTCCATGAGTTTCAGCAGCACTGCTCAGATCTTCCAAATTTTAGGGCCATGGTTTCCTATGTTAAATTAATTCATTCAGAGTGTGGTTTTCCTCTCTTTTCCTACTGCCTTCTGCCTTACCAAACATTGTTGTCTTGTTAAAAATAAGGTTCTATAAAAATAATAGCTAGGTTGATAACATTTTACTCCATAGGACCAAAATGTGCTGTGAAATAGATCTCATCATCTTAATCAAAGAATTTTGTCTATGATCTATATCTTACGTGTTTTAACCTATGCATTTTATTGTATGCATATTACAGTGATGTGGTTTGACTGTGACATGCTTCACCTTGAGGCATGAAGAGAGGCAGGTAATAAATTCAGAACAAAATTCTGAATTTAGGCTCAATAAATTTCCCTAGTTTATAGTATATGTTCTATTGCTTGATAATGGAAACTGTTACTTTGATGTTCCCTTATTTGCACTAGCAGCTGAGAAACAGAGAGCTAAAATTGTTGTTCCACTCTGAATATTTTTGTTTACTATATCTGCCAATAATAAAATTGATACTAGAACAACAGTCACAACCAAATGATAAAATTGTGTGCAGAAACTGACACAAAATAGAAATCTGGGTATTCAACTGCTGTGCCTTAATCAAAAATATTCACAGTGTGCTTTCTTCTTATTCCTGTTTGATGAATTCTATTAACATGCATAAAAGTTTCACCACTGAAAAATGTATATAAATATCTTAAGACAGATAAGAATTATTTTCAACTTAAATGTGTTCACCATTCATTAAACTGTGGAATGACCTGCTGGAAGGGATCCAAGAGCAAAATGAACTGTCAGAATTTAAAATATAAATAAAGTCCCATCTCTTCCGGCAGGCCTACCCAGCCAATTTAAACTATGGATTTAAATTTACATTCTATTATTTTAATAATATTTTATTTTAATGTATTTTAATCTTTGTACCATGTATTTGAATAGGAACCATATCACTTGGCTTGACTTCTGGAGAGGAGGGGGGGCAGCAGGGTGAATCTGTCACTCCATGCACAGCTCCTTCTCAATGATGCTTTCTCATCAAATGGCCTCCCATGTCAGGGTGAAAGCATCCAGTGACGCTTTCACCTCGGTTAGGGGTGGGGCCTATGCAAGAAGTTACACGACCCCAGGCAGGGTGAAGACATCCTAGGATGCTGACTTCACCCCATCCGATGTGGTCATATCTATATCTTATGTGTTTTAACCATTGCATTTTATTGTATGTATATTATGGTGATGTGGTTTGACTGTTGTGCTTCACTTTGAGGCATGAAGAGAGGCAGGTAACAAATAACATTTATTATTGTTGTTGTGCACACAACAAATAACATTTGTTGTTATTATTATTTGAAAATTATTAAACTGTATTGCATATTTGAATCTGATTCAAATGTCTTTATTCCACTTTACAATGACAAAGCAGCTATTAAGGAAGATTTGCCTATGCTATTCCTGCTGCCAGTGTTATCTTACAGCATTCATACATTAACTCACTTAAATGTCAGACTACACAATTTCATGCATTGCTTTGGCTGGACAGAATGTTAACCTTTGAACTGCATACAGTAAGGACTGTTAATAAATGAATTTATTGAACTGTAAGGGCTGTTAACAAGTGGGTCTCTTTGAGATCTGTTATTCATAGGGTCACCATGTGTCAAAGCTAACTTGACAGCACATAATAGCAATAAAATTTACAATCCTGAAGAATAACTACAATTTTTAAAAATTGTAGCATGGGCTATAATATGATCAACGGGCCCATTACATTACCCCAGTGATGTGGGAACTGCTGATTTATGGCTTTTTTATAGTGTTAGTACATTAACACAGAGAAACTCTAAGATTGCATAAAAAGGAGCTGATAAGGTAGATGTGTGTAAATGAGTAAAGTTGTTAAAGATAACACTAGCATAACACCTGAAGAAGGTATAACGAAACAAGGGGAACAAGCCGGGATACCTTGTTGTGTTGCTGTTCCTGGCATTACGAGTTAATGAAGAATCTCCTTTAATTTAGAAGTCGTTATTTTGGAAGCTGAAGTGTTGCTGTTCCTGGCGTTACAAATTAATGAAGAATCTACTTTAATATAGAAGTCGTTATTTTGGAAGCTGGAATTTTTTTTATTACCACTGGTATTGGGCACTAGACCTTTGCCAGCTCCAGGACTTATTAGGACTGGTTGTTTCTATATGCTTTTCTTTATGTCTGTTACTTATTTCGTGAATAGTATATCCTTATTTGAATTATGAGAATTGTATTTTTACTACTGTGAATTTTGAAGTCTTTATGACATAGTAACAAAGCATGAAGTAACTTAATCTGAGGCAGAATTTTGTGAGTCACACACATACATTGTTGTTTTGTTGGTTGTTGCCATAGATACCTGTGCATTACACACTAGCTGATGGCATTGTCAACATTTTAGATATAATTCTGGGATTTCATTTTTCTGGATAAGACATCATATTATTAAGAAAAAATCAGAACAAGAACGTGAATGTTAACGTGAAAATTACATATCTGCTGCAATATGTATATAATAATGAACACAGATGATTCCATCAGAAAACGATCTAGAGCAGTGGTTCTCAATCTTTCTAATGCCACAACCCCTTCATACAGTTCCTCACATTGTGATGACTCCAACCATAAAACTGTTTTTGTTGCTACGTCATAACTGTAATTTTACTACTCTTATGAATTGTAATGTAAATATCTGATATTTAGGATGTATCTTCATTTACTGGACCTAATATCGCACAGATACCAAATACGCCCAAATTTGAATACTGGTGGGGCTTGATTTTGTCTTTTGGGAGTTGTAGTTGCTGGGATTTATAGTTCACCTACAATCAAAGAGCATTCTGAACTCCACCAACAATGGAATTGAACCAATCTTGGCACACAGAACTTCCATGATCAACAGAAAATACTGAAAAAGTTAGGTGGGCATTGACCTTGAGTTTTGGAGTTGTAGTTCACCTACATTCAGAGAGCACTGTGGGCTCAAACAATGATGGATCTGGATCAAACTTGGCACGAATACTCAATATGCCCAAATGTGAACACTGGTGGAGTTTGGGGAAAATAGACTTTGACCCTTGGGAATTGTAGTTGCTGGGATTTATAGTTCACCTACAATCAAAGAACATTCTGAACCACACCAACGATAGAATTGAACCAAACTTGTTACAGAAGACCAACCTTGAGATTACTAGCACATGCACTTCCACCTTTCCAATTCTAGAAAAGAGTGCACCTAGTGTATCAACCAAAGCTGGTAGTAAGCATTCCTAACCATCACATCTATCTGAGTTGACACTTTGAGAGATGGATTCAAGCGCACTGCCAAGCTATGTACACAGTTTTTCAGTGGGAGTGTAACCACATGCAGAACAGGTTAACCACCCCCATCCCTAGTTTAGGACTCTTAATGGCAAGCACTTCTGGTTTATATGTATTTAATATCAATTTGTTCTTCTTCATTCAGCCTATTACCTCCTCCAAAAGCTAATGGATCCATGCATGGCATCCTCCAGGTGCCAGTGGAAGATCAACTGAGTGTTCCAATCATGAGACTCCATCAAACATTTAGATTTCTAGTTGTACGTGCAGATCCATTATTCCCTTTCTAATGAGCTGCCTCATTTGCCTGTAAGTTGGCAGAAATCACCATGCAAATATATATGTTGGATTCATTAATCCCCACTATTTGAATAAATTAACTACTGAATTTAACCACAATAAAAGTGAAATACTGTACCTGTGATAATAACATCTACCATTACATCTTCATACGTAGGATTCTTGAAGGTTATGATGATTGAGGAATGGTGACCAACACAAGAACTTACACTAGCTGGAGCCAGTGGCTGAGGAATCAGACCAACACCAGACAAGAAAAATTCCCATTCCTCGAGCTGCAGAAAAAATAGAAATGTTGCCATTTTAAGTAGAAAATTTCAACATAATCTTTTTTCTATACTTTTGGACATTTGAAATTTAAATTAAATAATAATAGCCCCAAGTGGCACTGGTACACACAAAAAAAACTCTGCTAGAAATGTAGAGATCTGTGGATTTTTTTCATGTTTAATATGCAATGTTCTATATATGCATCAAAATATTACAAAAAACGTTATGGTTCAGTTTTCAATCTTACTTATTTGAATTGTGCTTTTCCCACCTCTACTGTTGACATAAGAAATACATAACAAAGTGTGTCAGCTTGATTTGTTCAAAACAGCCATATCAAAAGGTAAGAAATATTACAACAGGTGTAAAAAAAACCCACAGTACTATAACTTGAAATTGTTCTCTAGATATGCTACTCTACAGCGATTATAAATGACAATGTAAGTATTTCTTGTTAAGAAATCCAGAACAGCTGAGATGCCTACACAACATGCAATTTGGTTTTAAAACCAATTTGATAATTCAGAAAATAGCCAGATTAACCTCAGACTAATTCACAATTCAACCTGGATCAAAATCCAAATCATGTTTTGGTAATCCAAGTTGTTTTTGTCCGAATTGAATGACATTTTCAGATATACGTAGTAGTCCCTTTGCATGTGGATTTATATCTGACAAATATTAAACAAATAGATGAAAGGTTTACATGATATGCATTTATACTGTTTAAAAGAAAGAAACTGCTAATATTTTATGTTATTTTACAGAACTGAATAAGATCTTCTGAAAAACATCCTTTAAGAAATAACATTTTTACAAGATTTTAGTAAAGAGGCACAAGGAGACAAGTGCAGGAGTAATCTCTATGATTTGATAGTTTCCTTTTTTTTTTTTTACAGAGACACCATTAAAACTTCTATTCTCTGTTGGCTATAAATCATTAAGAATGCTTCTAGGCATTTTCTGCCCCAGCTTCAATCCATTTAATATGAGTTCAGCTTTAATCCTGATATTCACTAGATCTCTCTGGATCAGTCTACTTCAATCTGGAATTTGCCAAATACAAAGCATACTCCTAGAAATGTACATAATACAGTTTCATTACTTACTTAAGAACTGAGATTTTCTAGGGACATACATGCAACAGTCCTTCTTAGGAAATAAGCCCCACAAAACACAGTGACACTTAGAGTAGAAATACAATGATATTAGTTTGTTAGTTCAAAGACAGGAAATATTACATGTGACCAAACTGAAAGCACACCAAGAAAGTAGATAAAAAATAATTCAAGACCTGAATAAAAATATGACGTGCAAGACAACAATACTAACAATCCCAGTTAAAAAAATTTACATAGACAACAACCAGTGCTGAAATAATGCTGTCAGACTTATATTTGTAAAAACAAAAAAAAAGCTGAATATCTCATACCTGCTATCTTTAAGTGGCAATTAATTAACTAACCAAGTGTTAATTAGGGGAAGGAAAACCAGTATTTTGACTAGTATATTGACTTCTTCTGCTTACTTTTTTTTGAAGTTCCTATATTTTTGAGAAGATGCATTATTCAAAGGTGCATATTAAGCAGAATATTTTGGAAAGAATCTATGCAAAGTACACATGACAGGATCAAGTAACAGATCCATTTCACTTCTAACTTTTCGCAGTACTATTAGTTTCATTCCATTATCTACTTATGTTACCAGTTTGCTGAGAGAACTAGGCAATATCAATATATTAACATTTGGAGTAAACATTACATTCAACCTGACATTTCGGTTGTGCTGTTCCAACAAAATTAATTTAGGTGATAAAAAACAAGACCAAAATGATTATAGCTTGAGTTCAAATTCATATCACACAGAATTCGTTGCACAGCTCGAAAGCAGAAACAAAGGAAGCAGATAATAACCCACAGTAGTTTCTCTCAATTCAGAAATGAAGCACAATCAGAAATAGTTACTGCTTGTTGTATAAAGTGCTACCATTAGCTGATTTTAGATTAGTCTGCTCTTCAGCTATGAGATGGATTAAAGTATTGGTGTAGAAGCATTTAATCACTGAAATCAAGGAAAGAAAATCAATGTCATTTTTAAGGTTTAAGTTTTGCTGTGCTTTCTATATACATTGTAAAAAAGTCTCTGAAGGTCTTTGTCATAAATCTCAGCATTACCTTGGTGCAAATAAGAAAAGAGTGAAATATTCTCAGGATACTTTTTACCAATATGATCACAGCCTAGTATCATTGCCTTTAGAAATGCAGTGGACAAGTTGGCTTCAAATGATTTAGGGATGAAAAGAGCAAAGACAAGTCACAAAGGTTATGGCAAAACACTGAAAAGGTTGATAGGACTGGACATTGCAAGTGAAAGGATGAGATATTGATTAAAGATTTGGCTGAGATAAAATCTTGGAGATTTGCCACTAGTTGACAGGATAGGGACAAGTCAAGAAAAAATAAGCATCAAGTCCCCAGAACTCAATTTCAACCTGAAACATTTCTGTGAATTATTTACGTATTTCATTGGTTTGGTATTTTATAAAGAACCAAACTTTTAATTTATTGACCAGAGTTCTGTGAACTATTATGGTTTTAGAGAGAGTAATAACATTTTATCCTCTAAAACTGTCCTTGAGGTTTATACATACAAAAAATGCTAGCACTTTGCTTTACTTTTTTCTCCTTTTCCAGTAAACACAAAAGGACAAAGAAGAATCTAAATAGACTTATTTACAAATTGAATTAACCTTCTGTGGTTAGTTTTTAAGGCAATGTTAACTTCAGATAACAAAATTAAATTTAGGATCTGAGTCCTATCCTGTTTCAAAAAATTGCTGGAGAGAAAAGAGATTTAAAATTAGTGTAAGCATTTTGCATCATTCGAATAGGGGCAAATGGAACCTCGAAGTTTAAAAAATTAGGTTAAAATATTTTTCAATAAGCTGGGCATGGGAGATAGAACATCATAGGACAAATGACTTAGATTGGGTAATGAGCCCAATTCTATTGTATATGGCCTTCCTCCACCAAAAAGCAAACAAAACTCTGGATATTGGACAATTTGTAACTGTAACAAATAAACAGTAAATAAATAATAATAGGAGTGTTAAATATTTAATGTTTAATTTATGTTTCATAAATATTTCATGCAGTTGCATGAATGGTCAACAATAACTTTACAGGCAATCGTCGAGTTACAAACATCTAACGTACAAATGACTTATAGTTAAGAACAGGATGAGAAACAGGAAGTGAGAGAAATCTAACCCTCAGAAGGGAAATCTACTCCTAAAAGAGTTATCATGGGGCAGGCATGTAGCCGGGGGGGGGGGGGGGGGGCGGGGGGGGGGGGGGGTGGGGGGGGCTGGGGGCTTCAGCCCCCCCCCCAAATTCTCATGGTGGTCTGCGAAAAGGCCTTACTGGTGCATTATTTAAACTGTTATGTTTATTCATATCATGATCTGATCACCATGCTCCATATATCCCATATGCATGGGGGTATTGGGGTAATGATACAAAAGGTTTGCTAGGGTAGACCCTCTTTCACTCAGACCCCCCCCCCCCGAATCAAACTCACCCCCCCTCCCCCGAATCAAAATCCTGGCTACGGGCCTGTCATGGTGGAAAGGTGCCTCCACAGAAGCTTTACCACCAATCCTTGTTTCCACAACAAGCCTCTTTTTTTTCAAAATCCAGTTATTATAGGTAAAGAAAGGGAGTTGAAAGCTTATTAACAGACCAGACAGCAAAACAAATAGTACAGGAGTGTTAACCCTTCCCTATGCTATCCAATGATAGATAGGTAGGTAGGTAGGTAGGTAGAAAGTAGGCTTGGGTGATCAAGAAAAAAATTGGTTCTAAACTCGTTTCGTTTCTAGGGTGCGCTAGCGTTTCGAAATTCTGAGGACTTCCGAAATTTGAGATTTCGAAATTTCGAAATTTCCGAAATTTTGTAAATTATGAATCGATTCGTTAATGGTGGACGCGATTGCGCAATATGCTAAAAAAACCTCCAAATAGGACAGGGGGAACTTCTGAAGCTTCCCTCTCCCTCTGTTGTTGACTGTTGGTGTGATAAAACAAACAACTATATTATATTATTATTATATTATTATATTATATTGTTGTATATTATATTATAATATTATTATATTATATTATTGTATATTATATTATATTATTATATATTATTATATTATATATTATTATAATATATATAATATATATATATATAATATTTATTATAATTATTATATATTATATTATTATTGTATATTATATATAATATATTATTATATTATATTTTATTATATTATAGTATTGTATATTATATTATATTATATTATTATATATTATTATATTATATTATATTATATTATATTATATTATATTTGTTGTTGTTCATTCGTTCAGTCGTCTCCGACTCTTCGTGACCTCATGGACCAGCCCACACCAGAGCTCCCTGACGGCCGTCACCACCCCCAGCTCCTTCAAGGTCAGTCCAGTCACTTCAAGGATGCCATCCATCCATCTTGCCCTTGGTCGGCCCCTCTTCCTTTTGCCTTCCACTTTCCCCAGCATCATTGTCTTCTCTAGGCTTTCCTGTCTCCTCATGATGTGGCCAAAGTACTTCAGCTTTGTCTGTAGTATCCTTCCCTCCAGTGAGCAGTCGGGCTTTATTTCCTGGAGGATGGACTGGTTGGATCTTCTCGCAGTCCAAGGCACTCTCAGCACTTTCCTCCAACACCACAGCTCAAAAGCATCGATCTTCCTTCGCTCAGCCTTCCCTAAGGTCCAGCTCTCACATCCGTAGGTTACTACAGGGAATACCATGGCTTTGACTAGGCGGATCTTTGTTGCCAGTCTGATGTCTCTACTCTTTACTATTTTATCGAGACTGGACATTGCTCTCCTCCCAAGAAGTAAGCGTCTTCTGATTTCCTGGCCACAGTCTGCATCTGCAGTAATCTTTGCACCTAGAAATACAAAGTCTGTCACGGCCTCCACATTTTCTCCCTCTATTTTCCAGTTGTCAATCATTTTTGTTGCCATAATCTTGGTTTTTTTTATGTTTAGCTGCAACCCAGCTTTTGCGCTTTCTTCTTTCACCTTGATTAGAAGGCTCCTCAGCTCCTCCTCGCTTTCGGCCATCAGAGTGGTGTCATCTGCATATCTGAGGTTGTTAATGTTTCTTCCAGCAATTTTCACCCCAGCTTTGCATTCATCAAGCCCCGCACATTGCATGATGTGTTCTGCATACAAGTTAAAAAGGTTGGGTGAGAGTATGCAGCCTTGCCGTACGCCTTTCCCAATCTTGAACCAGTCTGTTGTTCCGTGGTCAGTTCTTACTGTTGCTACTTGGTCCTTGTACAGATTCCTCAGGAGAGAGACAAGGTGGCTTGGGATGCCCCTCCCACTAAGAACTTGCCACAATTTATTATGATCCACACAGTCAAAGGCTTTAGAATAGTCAATGAAGCAGAAGTAGATGTTTTTCTGAAACTCCCTGCCTTTCTCCATTATCCAGCGGATATTGGCAATCTGGTCTCTCGTTCCTCTGCCTTTTCTAAACCCAGCTTGAACATCTGGCAACTCTCGCTCCATGTATTGCTGGAGTCCTCCTTGCAGGATCTTGAGCATTACCTTACTGGCATGAGAAATAAGGCCACTGTACGGAAGTTTGAGCAGTCTTTCGCATTTCCCTTTTTTGGTATGGGGATATAAGTTGATTTTTTCCAGTCTGATGGCCATTCTTGTGTTTTCCATATTTGCTGGCATATGGCAGGCATCACCTTGACAGCATCATCTTTTAAGATTTTAAACAGTTCAGCTGGGATCCCGTCGTCTCCTGCTGCCTTGTTGTTAGCAATGCTTCTTAAGGCCCATTCAACCTCACTCTTCAGGATGTTTGGTTCTAATTCATTCACCACACCGTCAAAACTATCCTCGATATTATGATCCTTCCTATACAGATCTTCTGTATAGTCTCGCCACCTTCTCTTGATCTCTTCAGCTTCTGTTAGGTCCCTGCCATCTTTGTTTCTTATCATACCAATTTTTGCCTGAAATTTACCTCCAATGTTTCTAATTTTCTGGAAGAGGTCTCTTGTCCTTCCTATTCTGTTGTCTTCTTCCACTTCCATGCATTGCTTATTTAGAAATAGTTCCTTATCTCTTCTGGCTAACCTCTGGAATTGCGCATTTAACTGGGCATATCTCCCCTTTTCACTGTTTCCTTTTGCTTTCCTCCTTTCTTGGGCTACTTCCAGTGTCTCAGCAGACACCCATTTTGCCTTCTTGGTTTTCTTTTTCTTTGGGACGTACTTTGTTGCCGCCTCCTGAACAATGTCTCGGACTTCTGTCCATAGTTCTTCTGGGACTCTGTTTACTAAATCTAGTCCTTCAAATCTGTTCTTCACTTCCACTGTATATTCGCTAGGAATGTTAGTGAGATCATATCTAACTGGTCTGTGTATTTTCCCTGATCTCTTTAGTTTTATTCTAATTTGGGCAATAAGAAGTTCGTGATCTGAGCTACAGTCAGCCCCAGGTCTTGTTTTCACCGACTGGATGGATGTCCGCCACCTTTGGCTGCAAAGGATGTAGTCAATCTGATTTCGGTGTTGACCATCTGGTGAGGTCTATGTATAAAGCCGTCTTTTAGGTTGTTGGAAGAGAGTATTCGTTATACACAGCGAGTTTTCCTGGCAAAATTCTATCAGCCTGCGTCCCGCTTCATTTTGTTCTCCCAGACCATGGTTGCCTGTGATCCCAGTTGTCATTTGACTTCCCACCTTGGCATTCCAGTCTCCTGTAATGAAAATAATGTCTCTTTTTGGTGTATTATCCAGTAGGTCCTGCAGATCCTCATAGAACTGATCTACTTCTGCTTCTTCAGCAGCTGTGGTTGGGGCGTATATTTGGATCACTGTAATGTTGAAAGGCTTTCCTTGCACTCGAATTGAGATCATTCTGTCATTTTTTTGGGTTGTATCCAAGCACTGCTTTAGCGAATTTCTTATTAATTATGAAGGCTACTCCATTTCTTCGATGTTCCTCTTGTCCGCAGTAGTAGATCTGGTGGTCATCTGATGTGAAGTGGCCCATTCCAGTCCATTTCAGTTCGCTGACCCCCAGAATGTCTATCTTTAGTCTTGACATCTCACCAATAACAACATCCAATTTGCCCTGGCTCATAGATCTTACATTCCAAGTTCCTATGGTGTGTTGATCTTTAGAGCATCGGATTCGTCGTTCACCTCCAGTACCGTCGGCCGCTAGCCTTCCTTTCGGCTTTGAGCTAGCTGCGTCATCACATCTGGGGCTAGTTGAACTTATCCTCTGCTCCTCCCCAGTAGCATTTTGGCCATCTTCCAACCTGGGAGTCCCATCTTCCAATGGCATACCGACATATCTCTGGTTGTACTGGTCCATTTAGTTTTCTTGGCAAGGATACTGGAGTGGTTTGCCATTGCCTTCCCCAGGGATCACGCTTGGTCTGACCTCTCTGCCACGACCGTCCCGTCTTGGGTGGCCCTTCACGGTTTCGCTCATGACATCATTGAGGTGCTCAAGCTCCAGCGCCATGACAAGGCGGTGATCCTTTTGCTGGAGTATATTATATTATATATTATATATTATTATATTATATTATAATATATTATATTATAATATATAATAATAATATAATATAATAATAATATAGTAATATAATATATAATATAATAATATAATATAATATAATATAATATAATATAATAATATAATATAATATAATAATAATAATATTAATATTATATTATATTATATTATATTATATTATATTATATTTTATACTAGCTGTACCTGGCAACGCATTGCTGTGGCATAGAGTGAGGGTATGAAAAATAAAGTAATGAGAAATTTTGGGCAAGAAGGATGCCAGGAGAAAGAGGAGGGAGGGGGGAATGTGGGATTTGCCAGCTGGAAGGAAGGAAGGAAGGAAAGAAGGTAGCCCAGTGCAGCCCAGAGTGAGGCAAGAAGAAGCATGAGGAAAGAGGAGGGAAGCAGCAGAGCAAAGGGACCAGAAGTGGGGTAAATGCGAGTTTGTAAAACTTGCACCAGACATACCAAAATAATTATGAAATAATTACGAAATAATTACGAAATAATTACGAAAATTGGAAAAAAATTGTTTCGATTCTTAATTACTCTTCACACTATTCCTGCATGGCTCGATATTGGATCGTAAGCTAATTTAAATACGAATCAATAACAAATAACAAAATTAACGAACTGGATCGCCCAAGCCTAGTAGATAGATATATAGATATTATCTAATAACTAGATAAATGGATAACTGGAGTTACACTTAAAAATGTACCTGTTCCGACTTACAAACAAACTCAACTTAAGAACAAGCCTTCAGATCCTATCTTGTTCATAACTTGGGCACTGCCTGTATATGAAAATCAGTGAAACTAAACTATAATGACAGTACCATCCCAAATATGCCAACTTATCAAATCCTATTGTGTTCAGTTAGGCTTACTGCAAGGTAGATGACTATGGAACAGGCAATACCATGGAGTTGTGATTTAGGTGATCAGTCACTTCTTGCTTGTAAAACATCTTTTCACTCTACGGTTCTGATGAAGTAGAGTTAACTCTACTTGCAAAAGCTTATGCTACCAACTTCTTTCTCTCAGTCTCAAATGTCCCTTTCCGTTGCTTTTCCATAGAGCAGTGGTTCTCAACCTGGGGGTCCCTAGGTGTTTTGGCCTACAACTTCCAGAAATCCCAGCCAGTTTACCAGCTGTTAAGATTTCTGGGAGTTGAAGGTGAAAACATCTGGGGACCTGCAAGTTGAAGCATTTCACCTGGTATTTTTACAAAACAGAATCCCTTTCAAAATTAGATATATTAACAAGGAAGAAATCATATGCATATTAAGAAAATGAAATTTCACTCAAGTACAACCCATTTGCTGACATTATGGTATCTGTGCCACAACATTAGTGCTTCTGTTTCATCTTCAGTAATTTATTTTTAGTAAGGTGAAGGGCATTTTTAAAATTCAACTCATTAGAAAGTTGTGTTTTTTAAGACTGTCGCTTAGAAACTTTAAAATGAGGTGTTATTTTCAAGCACATTACACTGGTATTGCCAACTGACATATTTAACTGTACTATAATTTGCCCCAATGTCAGGTTACATTTCACACATCATAAAGTACTGTGCAGCCATACCTGTGGACATTCGAAACAAATTCTTGCCGTATGGTTGGTTCTTCCTACAGAAGAAGGACAAAACCGAACAGGTACTTCAGCAGTAGAATGAGGAGGGACAATAAGCTGCAATAATATGAGAAAACACAAAAAATCAGTGCTTTTTTAAAAGAGTCAGTTCTTTCTTTGTGTCTCACATTGATAATGTTGATGTTTAAGTGATTAATGTGTTCCAGTGTATGCCTTCTCCAGTCCCAGCATGTAGGATCTGCTAAAACTGATAAAGTGCATTGCAGTAAACAGTGCTTAGCAGCAGTCACAGCACGCTTATTCCCTAGAAACTCAGAACATTGTGTTGCTAGCCACAAAGAAGGAAGTGGAAGAGGGATGAAAGAAACAGAGCTTCCGTTTTTCAGGTCACAAACATCTGTTTCATCTTTATCCACCCCACCTCCAAACTGCAAAAATGTTTTAATGTCTCATATGCTGCACATTCTTAAAAGGCAATGTAAAGTATATTTTTACACATTATTTTCTCTTGAATTTATGTTCACAGTTATGTACAATCATTTGGGCTCCTAGTAGTTCCATGATGTAATTTATTCACTTTACATTCCAAAGGTCTGACCTACAAGTACAGGAGAAAAGGCAAAGGGTTCAAAGATATGGCAATAAAACTGTTTAAAGCTTTCTCAGGAAAGAGACAGTCTGTAAATCCAAGAATAACATCACACAGTACAATCCCAACCCATTGCCAAATACCCAACCAACATATCTGTACGAGACATATATAAATGTCATTACAGTTAACCTTTGATGCCAAGTTTTCCTGAATCTGATGCTGAGACAGGGGCTACATATCTCACCACCAATATTGCATCTGCGAAGAATCGTCCAGCTGAGCTTTTCCGGCTTGTCAGGGTATATTAAATCCGCCGAAAAGCGAGGTCCCTGACAACACGGTGGCTCGCTGTGAAGCATTTGCTCGATTCTTAGCAGATAAAATTGCGCGGATTCGGTCTGATTTTGATGCCATATTAACAGCGGTCTCTGGGGATGTAACACGAACATCTGCTTGTCCGGTTTTGTTGGATTCATTTCAATTGGTTCAGCTTGTGGATGTGGACAGGATCCTTCGAAAGGTGTGACTTACCACATGCATCCTAGACCCCTGTCCTTCCTGGCTGATAAAAGAAGCCAGAGGGGGTTTGGCAGAGTGGGTGAAGGTGATGGTTAATGCCTCCTTACAGGAGGGAAAGTTTCCAGCGAGCTTAAAACAAGCTATCATAAAACCACTGTTGAAGAAACCATCACTGGATCCCACTCAATTAGACAACTATCGGCCAGTTTCCAATCTCCCCTACTTGGGCAAAGTCATGGAACGTGTGGTGGCAACACAACTCCAGGGATTTCTGGTAGACACTGATTATCTAGATCCGGCACAGTCAGGCTTTAGGCCAGGACATGGAACTGAGACAGCCTTGGTCGCCTCGGTAGATGATCTTCGCCGGGAGCTGGACAGGGGGAGTGTGTCCCTGTTAGTTCTGCTGGACCTCTCAGCGGCCTTCGATACCATCGATCATGGTATCCTTCTGGGGTGCCTCATGGATATGGGGCTCGGGGGCACTGCTCTACAGTGGCTCCGATCCTTCCTTGAGGGACGGTCCCAGAAATTGCAGGTGTTATTGGGTGACACCTGTTCGGCCCCACAACCATTGTGTGGAGTCCCACAGGGCTCAATCCTGTCCCCGATGTTATTTAACATCTACATGAAGCTGCTGGGGGAGATCATTCGGAGTTTCGGAATGAGATGTTATCTCTATGCAGATGATGTCCAAATCTGTCACTCCTTCTCACCTATCACTGATGAGGCTGTGTTGGACTGGATGAGAGCTAACAAATTGAAATTGAATCCAGACAAGACAGAGGTCCTACTGGTCAGTCGTAAGGCCGAACAGGGCATAGGGTTACAGCCTGTGTTAGATGGGGTTACACTCCCCCTGAAGACGCAGGTTCGCAGCTTGGGAGTGATCCTGGACTCATCACTGAGCCTGGAACCCCAGGTCTCGGCAGTGGCCGGGAGAGCTTTTGCACAATTAAAACTTGTGCGCCAGTTGCGCCCGTACCTTGGGAAGTCGGATCTGGCCACAGTGGTCCACGCTCTTGTTACATCCCGAATAGATTACTGCAACGCACTCTACGTGGGGTTGCCTTTGAAGACTGTTCGGAAACTTCAATTAGTCCAGCAGGCGGCAGCCAGATTACTCACTGGAGCGTCATACAGGGAGCATACCACCCCCCTGTTGTGCAGCTCCACTGGCTGCCGATCCAGTTCCGAGCACAATTCAAAGTGCTGGTTTTGACCTACAAAACCCTATACGGTTCCGGCCCAGTGTATCTGTCCGAACGGATCTCCCTCTACGTCCCACCTAGGAGTCTAAGATCTTCTGGGGAGGCCTTGCTCTCGACCCCGCCTCTATCACAAGTGAGGCTGGCGGGGACGAGGAGCAGGGCCTTCTCGGTGATGGCCCCTCACCTATGGAATTCACTCCCTGGGGAAATTAGATCATCGCCATCCCTCCTTTCCTTTAGAAGGAAATTAAAAACATGTATTTGGGACCAGGCGTTTGGGCAATCTGGCAGATAAATAAAGGACAATGACGACTGATAGGAATGGAAAATGTGGAATGAAGTTAAGGACTCTGAGTTGCGAACGTGAGCATAAGATTGTTTTTTTATTGACTGTGATATATATTGATTGTTTTAAACTGTTAAACTGTTTTAATTGCTGTCTATTTTTTATCTGTGTTACTGTGTAGGCATCGAATTGTGCCTTTTTTGTAAGCCGCCCTGAGTCCCCCCTCAGGGGTTGAGAAAGGCGGGGTAGAAGTACACGAAATAAATAAATAAATAAATAAATACTAAGCTCCTTATTAAGCAGTTTAAATGTTAGGGCCAAGCATTCTCTGACTTCTGCTAGTGCAGGGTAAAACTGGGTTAACCGGTTTTACACTGCATTAGAGTCTTAAATTCACTGGCTATAATCTGAATGCCCAAGAACAAGTTGTTGCCCAATTCGAGATTTTTGACCAGTGTAGACAGGCCTTTAATGTATAAAAGCTTATGCTATCAATGTTCTCTCAGTCTCATAAGAAGCTACAAGATCCTTATTGCATAGTTATTTTCCAGGCTAACACAGCTATATCTTTTTTAAAAATAATCACTAAATAGAATCTCTAGTTAATTCTTTTTATTTCTATATTATAGGATAGAATTCCTTTTGGACTGTTTTAAAAACATTTTAGAGAACATTTCAACATCCTGTACTACTAATTTTTTATTTGTTCATCACTTCAGACGGCTGGGAGGAGACACAGAAATACTCCAAACAAACTAACAAATGCTGATACGAGTTAGGTTTCTTTTCTTAGCATTGCAAGCTCTGGTTAATAAGCCACAGCTTATTAACTGACAGCCAGTAAATACTGAGAATGTATACTGGCAACACCCAACAAAGTCCAAATTCATAATAACATTCCTAGAATCCATGAAATCCCCCTTAGGCCCATATACTACGGTAGGATAAACTCCAGGCTTTTTGGAGCACTTTGATTTTACCACATGGAATTGTTCCTGCTTCTCATTATTCAAGATGCATTTTTGACGATTGTCCTAGTTACATTGTAGTCTTTTTTTCTTTTGGGAAAGGTCTGATTTTAATGCATAGACAGATCTATACTTAACGTCCTTCAGTCTAATGCTTGGGGCACACTTTCTTGCACTCCGATACACAGATCCCATCCCTACGCTCACCTCCCAACATTCATAATTAAACTCCAAGGAGATCCAGTTTTATATTAACTACAAAACTATTAGATGTACTGCATTAGTCCTCTACTTCTTAAAATTATCATGCTGCAGTTAAACACAGATAGTCAAAGTTTTATTTCTGTCATATAGAAAATGGCATTCCAAAAAAGATGATTCTTGGGATGCTGTGATAAGAGCTTTCAAAGAAAAAAAAATCAAGGATGATCTAGGATAAAGGCAATAATCAGGTCAATACTTGAAAACAGTGTATTTTTAGAAGCATTTCTATATGGCAGCATATGCAGACTCCTGTAATGAATGCTAAAGAGATGGGTGTCATACGATTTCAATTAGTTACTGAAATCTTCTGCACTTTGAAGGTTCTCTTCAAGCAAAAGGTGGCAGCTGGCTGATTACTGAAAATGCTCAAAGCCAAGGTACTTAAAGAACGAAGCAGAAGTGGTAGTGTTTGAAATTCACATGTTCAGTGCTGAGGACTAAGGCATTGGGGAGTGAACACTTTCACAAAGTACATTTAGGTAATTTATTTTTAATGTGCCTTTACAGATAATGTGGCATGAATAGTGGTGGCATTTTAGCATCTGGTAATGAATTAGCTCAGTTGAAAATGGGAAGGCTGTATTAAACTGCCAGGACAGTTCATATTCAGGCTACAGGAGTCAAAATTCATTATCATTAAGTTTAATCAATTTCTCTGGTAATGATCTGATTGCATAATGCATGGACCTGTTAAAGCTCTCCCCCAAATCCATCTACACTAAGTTAATACTATAATGAAATCAAACCCATAGTGCTATGAATAATGATTGGTAAAATTATCACTTACTGATAGCTTTTGCTTATTTAATACTATTTAACATCTTATATATAACTATTAAATAATGATTCAGAAAATGTACACTATAGCATATTAATACGCAATAAAGCATTGTCTCCTATTGTAAAAAAAACCTTATCATGCTAACATTATAATCACATTACTATAACAGATTAGCCAATACAGTAACTTTAAAATGTAATAGATAAGAATGAACTCATTTTTGCTTCAGCAAGTACACATGTAGCCTCCATTTCATTCCATGTATTGATGTGATAAAATATATATTTAGCTTGTTGTAGCCTTCAAATATGAGACAGTGTTCACAAGGAAACCTATATTTTAATATCAATATAGCCTAATTATGAGAACAATATATGTGTTTTTAACCACCTCGAGCCTCAAGGAGTGGCATGTAGAAAATAAACCATATTAATATTATTAGATCTTTTCCAATGTTTTATAATTACTATTTTTTTAAAAAAATCTGGAATGATTGAAGAAAGAATCTGTTATTTTCTGTACACAAAGCATACATTCTTAATACTGAACCATGGTTTCCATCTGGAAGGCACAGTAGATGCTTTGGATGAATCCCACCATCAGTCAACATACCAGAATGACATAAACATAAGATTTCATGTTCTGGAAATAATGCATTAAAAGTAGCAATAGTATTGGAAACACTGACATGATTTTGATATTTTAATGTAAGAACACAATGACCTGCAACAGTGAATTTTTGGTTTGAAAAAAATACTATTGCTAAACATGATTTTTTTGGGGGGGCAGGGGAGGTCATTTTTGGTGATTTCATCAAATATTCAATGAAACTCACTATGAGATAACAATGAAGAGTTTTATGTTCTCTATATATCACCAAATATATCACTGACTAAAGCTCATTTCATCAGATGCAATGCCCTTGAGCAACATTTCAGTTGAATAAATGTGAGGACAAACAGTTTTTAACTATTAATCTTAAACTCATGTCCTTTGTTTTGTGTATTTTGATATGTTTTTAGAAATGCACTTTGAATGTGGGTCTTCAATAGAAATATGTATATTTGTTGAATTTGTCAATTTTTTGCAATATTCATGTTTTGTAATTGTGTTGCAACCCTCCTCAAGCTACAGGGAGAGGCGGGTAAGAAATAAAATTATTATTATTATTAATAATAATAATAATAATAATAATAATAATATTTTACTGACACAAAAACACAGTATGTCACAGCAAATGAGATATATATTCTGGATTTCATATCACAAAATCAGAAGTCGAACACTTCCCAAGCGTCTAGGACTGTGTGATGTATTTTCGAATGATGCGCACAGATCCAAGTAAGATGGCCTTTTGCAGTTGACAGATCATGATTTTGTCGATGTTTATTGTTTCCAAATGCTGGCTGAGATCTTTTGGCATGACACCCAGTGTGCTGATGACCACTGGGACCACCTGTACTGGTTTATGCCAGAGCCTTTGCAATTCAATTTTGAGGTCCTGATAAAGGCTGAGTTTTTCCTGTTTATTATTATTATTATAAAAAGTAACTTTTCCCACATTAATTCCAGCTGAAGGATTTTGCATGAAAGGGTCTTCTCACAGGAACTCTTCTTGCAAGTCAATAAATTCACTTTCTCTTTCATAGTCTCATGCTCGAAAAAATTAAAGAAGTAAACATGCCTAATGCTTAATATGCTGGAATCATATGATGTAACGTTAAGCAAATAAAATTGTTTTCATTTACTTTCTTAAGTATTTTCAGTCTTCAGTATATTAATCACCTCATTACAGCATAACTAAAAACTAACTACTTTCTATTATAATATTAATCATTTCACAAGTATTTGTGCAAGTAGCCAAGCTCTATAATCTTGACTCATATTATTTGATGTAAAAGGATTCGGGAATCGCTTTAACAAGCTCATCTATATTTTGGTCAGATCATTAGCCCTGAGATGGATTAGAGTTAATGATAATGAATTGAGACTTCTATAGATCACAGACTGTCTCTGGGGTTAAAACATTGTCTTCCTGTTTCAGATTGTCCAGTTTATTATTGGAAGCTAATCCATCATAATTTATGATACAAAATTGTAAAAATAAGGTTTAACAATAATTTAGCAATATTCATTCTGAAATTTTTTCAATCAAATTCTTTTAAAAGTTGTTGGACAATGTTATTCTTATCTTTAAAGCTCATTGAATCCCATTGCTATGGCAACAAAAGACCCAAAATAGGTTTTAGTCCATCACCTTTTGAATGACAAACAGATAAGATCTTTAATGACAACTTCTATTGAACTCTCAGGATTAGTGTTTTTCTTTTCCAGGAATCTTACTATGTTGTCACACATGCTTACTGCATGTGCTTATATTTATCTTTCAAAATAAAGACAAATTATTGTTTTAGAATCATTATTAGTCTCAAAAACAAGAAACACATCTTCATAAATAGGAAATCCATGCACTATACCCATCATGATTAACGGAAAAAACTAGAAATTTGCCTTACACCTCTAATAATTGCTTCTGACAAATCCTTGCTTCTAAGATGAAAGCTTCCACATTTCTAGCATCATGTTTCTCTTTTTAAAGCCATGTTTGTTGCCAAAACAGTGATTCAACTCTGTTAGTTTCAGATTCATGTTGTATCTTTTGCTCCTATCTATCTCAAAGAAATTGTTTAATGCTCCACTAAGATACAATACTCCCCCTCCTCTATGTTCTCTATACAATGATCCCCCTTCTCCCCCTTCTCTATGTTGTTTTTGGACATTTGCCTTGACTGTTCATGTTTTTGAAGCATCCAATTAGGAAACTGTGTCTAGACAGCTATTTATTTCTCAAAAAGCTTTGAATCCGATCTTAGGTCTCAGTTATATTCTCTAGTCAATTGGATTAGACAATTTCCTTGCCTTAATACATAAATCCAGTAAACTAAACTTCTTTTTTAGCGAGAGTTACATTCTTAAAGAGCACTTTCATACCTGAAGGTAAAACAACATTGTTCTACAGCAGGACTTACTTGGGTTTTAGGATCTATTTCCATTGAAAAGTGGTTTGGGTTGCTGTTCAAAGGTTTCAATTCCAGAATTTCATGTGTAGGGTTAACCAGAGGAATATTCTGGCAAATCCATCTATTAGAAAATACAAATAAAAGTGATTATTATTACGGTATATCATGACAAAGAACCTGAATGATTCTGGACATTTTGCTAAGATTTTTACCAATTTTTACCATATTACTACTGGCTCTCTCACTTAACTTTAGCAAATACAGTATTTCTCACTCTTGCTATCTGCAACCTTTAAAAATATCAGATTTAGATATAATCATTATAAAGTTAGTATCAACCTAATTTATTGTGGATAGGCTGAGGTCTTAAAGAGACACAAATTTGTTTTACAAAATAATTCCCACTCCTACAGTTACAGCTAAATCAATGTTTAAAGAATAATAATACCATTTGACAGAATTTATAAAACAACTGTAACACATTGAACGATATAAAGTACTGCAGTATTAGTGGCCACTACATCATTATTTCTATACTAAAGAACAATAGATTTATAACCAAGATTTATAATATACTAGCTTGGGGACCCGGTGCTGCCCGGGTGATTTGAGAAAGACATTGTTTGTCTCTCCACCAAGTTTAGTCTAGATACAATGTCAGCTGGGTTTAGTGTGTACGGGTGAGCTATAGTTCCCATATGAAAGTGTTATCTTCCATAGTCAATCCTCCTCTAATCCACAATAGGATGTAGAGTGGGTTCTGGGATCTCTGTGTGCCAAGTTTGGTCTTTATCAGTCATTGCATGAGGGTCATAGTGGTTTCAGGAAGTGAGTGAAAGTACTGCAAGTCCCATCATCCATCGTCTGTCCTCCTCCAAACAGCACCGGGATGTAGAGTGGGTCATGGGGGGTCTGTGTGCCAAGTTTGGTCTTGATCAGTCATTGGCGAGGGTCTCAGTGGTCTCAGGAAGTGAGTGAAGTGATTGCAAGTGCCATCATCCATCGCCAAATTCTTCCAAACCGCACCAGGATGTAGAGTGGGTCATGAGGGCTCTTAGTGTGAATTGTGGTCCTGATCCATCATTGTTGACAGTTGTATTGGTCTTAGGAAGGGAGTGCAGGTATTGCAAGTCCCATCGTCCATGGTGCATCCTCCTCCAAACCGCACCAGGATGTAGAGTGCGTCATGGAGACTCGGTGTGCCAAGGTTGGTCTTTTTCGATAATTAGATGAGGGTTGCAGTGGTCTCAGGAATTGAGCAAAGGTACTGCAAGTCCCATAATCCATGGTCCATCCCCGACCAAACCACACCAGTACATAAAGTGGGTCATGAGAGGTCTATGTGCCAAGTTTGGTCTTGATCAGTCATTGGATGAGGTTCACAGCGGTCTCAGGAAGTGAGTGATGGTACTGAAAGTGCCATCTTCCATGGTCCATCCTCCTCCAAACTGCAGTAGGATGTAGAGTGGGTCATGGAGGGTCTGTGTGCCAAGTTTGGTCTGTATTGGTAATTTTCTGACACAGCTTCAGACCTTTTTCTCTCCTCTCTTGTCACCTCAGAATTTTGGAACTTTCAGGCTGGCCAATCAGAGACCATATGCAAATAGTACCACAGTGGCAGCCAATCAGAAAGCTGGCACATACACCTCCGCCCTACGTCCGCCGCACTTCCTCTGCACTTCCTCCACACTTCCGTCCGCCACATACAAACACTGACTTTTATTATAGATATAGATTATTATATTTATTGCATTGACAGGGAGTCCTGGGTTACAAACATCTGACTTGCCAACAGCTCATAGTTAAGAGAGGGGCTGAGACAAGAGGAAGTGAAAGAAATCTACCCCTCAGAAGGGAAATTCACTACTGAAAGATTATCATGGGGAAAAGATGTCTCCACTGAACTGTCCCAAATAGGGTTGATGGGGATGAGAGAGAGGGCCTTCTTGGTGGTGGTGGTGCCCCGGCTCTGGAATACCCTCCCTGGAGAGATTAGGCTAACTCCCACTCTCCAAGCTTTTCGCTATATTCTAAAAACATGGCTTTTTAGACAGGCCTTTGACCTAGGACTGACAGTTTTATCCGCAAACACCACTGCATTTTAAGAATTTTAATTTTTTTATTATGTGCCATTTTTACGCTTGTTTGCTGTTGTAAATTTATGTTATAGTCTATATGTTTATGTATTGTTTATTTTATGTTTGGCACTGTACGTGCCTTTGCGAGTCCCTTCGGGGAGATGGTGGCAGGATATAAATAAAGTTTATTATTATTTATTATTATGTTCTGATTATATACAAATTCAACTTAAGAACAAACTTACAAAACCCGAAACCTACAGAACCTTTCTTGTTCATAACTTGGGGACTGACTGTTTATGCCATCTTTTCCTGGTGTGGAACCCAAGGAAGTTATACAATAGAGATTCCTAGCTATTGTCATTACAGAGTGATTAAACCAGACAAATTCTACAAAAACCCCACATATTTTACATATTTCAGTCCATAAAAGCCATAGAGTTTGGCTAAAACTGGACAAAAATTGTAAAACTGGTCAAAATTAATGATAGTCAAAACAAAAATAATGACACCTTTGCAAGTTCCTGCTGATAGAAACCTGTAATTAACTAACTCTTCCAATGGCATGTGATTTACTGCTACAGAGCTGTAATTTCTCTTGCAACCTTGAGTGCTTACAAAAGATGACTGTTCTATACCTTCAATTTAAAAGTGGGACTTCCCACCCCTTTCCAATTCCACCTTTTTGTCCCTATGTATCAACTGTACATTGGGTAAACTTAGCATTTATGATGAAAACATAATCATGATTATTTCAGGATTTATATAACACAAGTATTTTGTGTCACATTTTTAATTAAACAAGGACTTAAAATTCTTAGTTTGCTATGAAAGGAAAGGCATATTATTTGAACAACCAGTGCACTATTTCAAATTCTGCACTTTTAAATAAAAACTTGGTGTTTTTTTAACCACTGCAAATTAATGTAGTCTTGGGGGCCTGGATTCCAAAGAAAAGGTAACCTAGTTTTGCAATGTTGGCTTTATTTGGAATGTTCTATAATTTCACAGTGGTTTCAATAAATAAAAATGTGACTTTTTAGACAGATGCCCATGGAACACAAAAGCGTAAGGCAAGACATGATGAGGAAAAATAATTGAAAGCCTATGAAGCTGTACCTGACTGCATTGTTACTGGCTTTATATGGCCTCTTCCTGAATGATATTCATTTATTTAATTGATATACCACTGTTCTCCTGTATTGGGATCAAAAGCAGCTTACAAAGACAGTATATAAACATTTATAATCAGTGTTTAATTAGCCACAGAAAAAAGAAGCAAAGATCAAATGCCCCTCATTTCTACCAGTACATCATGAAAGAAAGCCTGGGGTCAACTGACAGAAAGTACATTGTTCACGTGTATTTCTGCTCCCCTGTTTTCCTGCTATCCATAAAACATTGCAAGATGCAACACAGTGGCAATTATAGTCATATAAGTCTGATATCTTATAGCATTTTTTTCAAAGCATTTTCCAGCACTGGTTAGTTTTTTCTCCTCAGGAAAAGATAATGGAAAGCACTCAAAATGTTTCCCTCAACCTACATTGCTTTACTTGTTTTCTTGTATATGGTGCATTCACAACACAGCTGCTAGGCAACCTTCATTCGTTTGATTGTTCAAGGAGATGTCAAATAAGTCTTTCTGAAATGGAAATACCTAGGAGCACCACTTCCTGAACTAGAAATTCTAAAATCTATTTTAAGCACTGAGCAGATAAAGAAGGCATATCCACACATGCATACCTATTTCTTTTTCTAACAAATATTTTTGTGTTTTTTTTAAAAAATGCACAATTATTTAAATATTTTAAATACTGGTAGTAATTCACATTACTTATTGAAATAGTTGTTTTAATTCCCACAACATAGAGACTCTAAACTTTCAGACGTTATTTGAATTGTTTCTGAACTGTTTTAGTTTTCTCAAAGTGGAAATTGTTAGGGGTACAAATAATCTAGTCGGTGAGGCAGTGGTCCGCCACTCTTGATATTACCTGCCCCCTCCCCCAAAATTGCTTTGGCATCCAACCTGTACAATTTTTACAAGCCTAAAGCAATCCTTGTTTTAGAAAAATAAGTCTTTTCCCCTCCATTTCACTTTTAACCAGTTATTTTTCAATGACTAGACTTTTTACCTTTATACAGTAAATTACAATGCAGTGCAGGTTTGCCGAGATGTAAAATCTTCTTTCTTCTGTCTCATTTCTAAATATTTCTCAAAGCACAATTCAATATATATCTACTCAGAAGTAAGCCCCATTGATTTGAGTAGGACTGACTCGGGCACTTAGATGATATCCCTTCTAAATGATCCAGAAAGGTGGTGGGTGAGTAGAAGAGTATTGACAATTATACTACCGTTTAAACACCTTGAATGAAAAAAATAATAATCTTATACTTACTTTCCAAGTTCACATTCTATTTCAGGCATTCTGGTTGGTCGAGGCTTCTGTGCTTTCAATTGCAATGCATACCAAAATTCTCCAAAATTCTCTGACAGGAGTATGACACTAAAGTTGGAAGTATAAGGAAGCTGTGTTTAATTTTGCATTATATATATATATTCCGTCCTTCTCACCCCGAAGGGGACTCACGAGTGGTATACATAAAAGTACAATTTGATGCCATACAACACACATCCGGCAAATAAAACATATACATTAAAACAACCACTAAAAACATTTCAACACAAAATTATTAAAATCACATAATCCAATAAACATTGACTCCACTGTGCTACAGCATTATATTACAGTAGTAAAAGTATTAAAGCAAAAGCAGCTTTTTTCTTTAACATTCTCAATAACATATTCCCTGGGATTTTTCTGCTTTGAAAATATATGACAATTAACTTCATATTTTTAAAAAGTTTGATCCACAAATAGTTTTTAAACTAGATATAATTTGTTATATGTATACTAAAGAAGTTTCAAGTCGTATTGAGGTTAAAATACTAAGATTTTTTTCCACACATTTATCTCATTAGAGAAATGGTGAAATTAGAAGGGAGCACAGAGAGGGACCTCTTCATACATTGTAATGACCTTCTTTTTATACAATTTTAGAGGATTAGAGAGATCATACAAGTTTAACTAGAGGTGGGGAGATTCATGCAAAGGAACATTAAAATTGCCTCCCCAACGTTTTGACTCCTAGTTAGAGCACCACTGTCATGTGCTGTTGAGTTTTGTAACCACCCTAGGGAAATCATTCTCTTGTTTTTCGCACCCACCATTATTCTGGTTACAAGGAGAAGCTCAATGGGCAGAAAGTGGAGGATTATTTTATATCACAAATCTTGAAACAAAAGTATTGTGTCACAACTTTCATAGTAAATGGGGAAATGATGTAGCTATCAGTCTGAAGTTTTTGTTTGAAAAAGTGATGTTAAGATCAAAATTAGATACTATGAAAAGAAAAAAATATATAAAAGTACCTGAAACCACTCATCCATAAATCATGTATTCAAATAAATGTCGGTTTTCTGAAAATAGTCTTCAACAACATCAACAACACTTTATATTTATATTCTGCATTTCTCCCAGAGGGGACTCAGTGCGGATTACAGTATATAAACAGACACAGGCAAACATTCAATGCCTTGATTACAATGGCATACAATGAGACACAAATACACAAAGGCAAAGGCTTCTCCTTTCATTTCCAGCTCTGGAGGCGGTGCTCATCACTGGGTTTTGGGGAGGTGCTCTTTCTCCATTTCCAAGCCAAGGAGCCTGCATTCAAAGACACCTTGGAAATGTGGCTGGCATGACTGCTTGGAACATCTTTTTGTCTTTTATTGATCTACTCACATTTACATGTTTTTGTACTGCTAGGTTGGCAGGAACTAGGTCTACCAGTGGGAGCTCACCCCATCCTGTGGATTTGAACTGCCAACCCTCAGGTCAGCAATTCAGCAACACAGGGGTTTAACCCACTGCACCACTGCAGCCCCTTCGTGATTTAAAAGTAGTAGAAAGTACACAATTTCCATTTAGTGTGGGTTTTATTAGTAAGGCCACTTAATCTCCATTTTAAAATATATAATTTCTTGTCTTTCTGTTGGTATTTACTTCATTTCAACCAATAAGTGGGATGCCAGGAAAAAGGCAACGTATAAATCTAATGACAAATGAAACAGAGCTTTTTTTGTAATTAGATCTAATAGGAATGGAAATAATGTTCCACAATGCTTCAAGAATGATTGACAACAACTTAATCAAGCATTAGAAATCCTGATTGGAAGAATCTAGAACCATAAGAATCTTTACTGTTTAGGACTTATTCTACACACAAGTCACACTGTTTTATTTTGTTTTGTTTGTTTGTTTTGCACAGAAAATATCATTTCTGTGCCAGCAATGTCTGTGCAGAAATTCCATGTGCCAATTTGATGCAGAATAAGTACCAAACAGCAAACAGTCTTTGAAACCTGTTTTAAAGCCTTTCTCACACTGAGTAGAAAATGATTAACATAACTCAGTGCTTCCTTAGAAACCAAAATTAATGATGAATTACATCTGTAAAATCATCTGAAGTTATTCCCATTACCAGCTGTAACAGCCGATCTTACCTTCCAACTGAGCTGCCAGTAACAGCTGGAGAGTACTTTACTTCATAGTGAAATGTTTCCTTTGGTTGAAGAACAAGCTTTTTCTCTCCACTAAGTACAACAGCATCTATGAGTATCACATCTAATGGAAGAATGTCAGCTGTGGGATTAGTTACAGGAATTCCAATAATGATAGTATCCTAAAGGAGAGAAAGAGATTGAAACACAAACCATTGATTCTTATTTGTTTATCAAAGATGTCAAGGACATAATATTTGAATTGCTTTTTAATAAATACCATACCAAATTATTCCCATATCAATTCAAAGTGATGGTTATTCCCTATAAAACTCTAAATTATAGGAAATTAGGGTACTTGAAATACTACCTTCTTCTGCACATCCCTACCTGTAATGTGAGGACCTGTTACATGTCCTATCACCTTTAGGGACTTACATGTTCCATGCTTCAAGCAGGTGTGGACATGTACAGGTCCTTAGCTATAGCAACAGCGTATTTGTGGAAGTACCACCCTAAAAACCTCAACTTCTCCCCTTCTTTGCCTAGGTGTATAAATGCAGCAAAAACCATTTTTATTTAATGTATTGTCAAAGGCTTTCATGGCTGGAATCACTAGGTTCTTGTGGGTTTTTTCAGGCTATGTGGCCATGTTCTAGAGGCATTTCTCCTGACGTTTCGCCTGCATCTATGGCAAGCTTCCTCAGAGGTGAGGGCTGCTGGAGCTGGGAAAAAAGAGGGTTTATATATCTGTGGAATGACCAGAGTGAGACAAAGGTCTTTTGTCAGTTGGGCTAGGTGTGAATATTTCAACTGACCACCTTGATTAGCATACAATGGGCTGACTGTGCCTGGAGCAAACTCTTCTTGAAAGATAATTAGATGTCCTTACCTGTTTCCTCTCTGCTGTTTTTGCTGTTGCAATTTTAGAATTTTTTAATACTGGTAGCCAGATCTTGTTCATTTTCATGGTTTCCTCCTTTCTGTTGAAATTGTCCACATGCTTGTGGATTTCAATGGCTTCTCTGTGTAGCCTGACATGGTGGTTGTGAGAGTGGTCCAGCATTTCTGTGTTCTCAAATAAAATGCTGTGTCCAGGTTGGTTCATCAGGTGCTCTGCTATGGCTGACTTCTCTGGTTGAAGTAGTCTGCAGTGCCTTTCATGTTCCTTGATTCGTGTTTGGGCGCTGCGTTTGGTGGTCCCTATGTAGACTTGTCCACAGCTGTCCACAGCTGCAGAAGTGAGAGGATCCCTCTCCCTCAGACATCAGAAGAGCTGCAAGACCAAGAACAAGCCACGAGAGTAAAGATGAAGATCCACCCAGAGGGAAAGTGTTCCTGCCATACATCAAGGGAACCACTGACCGCATAGGGAAGCTGATGAGGAAACACAACATACAAACTATCTACAGACCCACCAAGAAAATCCAACAAATGCTACGTTCAGCAAAGGACAAGAGGGATCCTCTCACTTCTGCAGGAGTCTACCGTATACCATGCAGCTGTGGACAAGTCTACATAGGGACCACCAAACGCAGCGCCCAAACAAGAATCAAGGAACATGAAAGGCACTGCAGACTACTTCAACCAGAGAAATCAGCCATAGCAGAGCACCTGATGAACCAACCTGGACACAGCATATAATTTTGAGAACACAGAAATGCTGGACCACTCTCACAACCACCATGTCAGGTGACACAGAGAAGCCAATGAAATCCACAAGAGGCAGGTGGACAATTTCAACAGAAAGGAGGAAACCATGAAAATGAACAAGATCTGGCTACCAGTATTAAAAAATTCTAAAATTGCAACAGCAAAAACAGCAGAGAGGAAACAGGCAGGGACATCTAATTACCTTTCAAGAAGAGTTTGCTCCAGGCACAGTTAACCCATTGTATGCTAATCAAGGTGGTCAGTTGAAATATTCACACCTAGCCCAACTGACAAAAGACCTTTGTCTCACCCTGGTCATTCCACAGATATATAAACCCTTTTCCCCAGTTCCAACAGACCTCACCTCTGAGGATGCTTGCCATAGATGCAGGCGAAACGTCAGGAAAAATGCCTCTAGAACATGGCCACATAGCCTGAAAAAACCCACAAGAACCATTTTTATTTAAGTAAATTTTCAGCATGTTTCAATAGCTTTGCTCCATAGCCTGAATGACTTTAAGGTAGGCTTTTATATTTATAATCTAGTTTTTAAAATAAGACATTGGCTCTCAAGTTCAAGATCACTTGGGGGTCCACAAAAATAAATTGAATGAATAATCATCCTTTTGCTGGTGACTTGCCCAAACCACCCAGTGACCCTTGAGATTTAAAAGAGTTGGGTCTTCTATATTATGTGAACTAGTCACACAATTGCTGTAACTATGAAAAAATATTTTCCAAACAAGTTTGTTATACTGAAATAACCATGATGTAGCCAGAATTTATTAGCCGAGCTGCTTCAGTGATTCATACCCTGCCATTTGCCTCAAGGCATATAACAAATCATATACTAAAGAAAGCAGTAAAGATTACTAGTTGTGTGAATTTGCTACCACACAATGTGAGAAACATCCACTGTTGTTAGAAAAACTCACAACTAGGGAGATTTATCTCACAAAATGCAATAAACCACACATCAATTTTTGATCTCAGTCTCTTGCTGCTTTGTATAAATAACAACAGAAAACTTTGTACTCTTTCAGTGACTATTTTTGAAATATAACCTTCAAAGGGAAAGGGCAATCATTTCAGTGAAATGTTGCCATCAACAAATGAAGCATTATAACTGCAATAACAGAGTGAAGGTTGGGCCTTATGGCAAATATGAACCATTTTACCCATGTAAAATTCTTCACATAAATAAATTAGAATAATAATAACAATAATGTTTATGCAGGAAATATATTGGGCCACAAAAAAATCCTACAGATCTGAAAAAAACCCTTACATTTTAAGAAAATCGCAAATTGAGCTAAAAACACATAAAACGCATTTTATGTTTTACAGATGGTAGAGTTATACCCATCTAAATAATTCAATGGCCCTGCATCAGTAAGACACATTAAGTTTCCTATAAAATACTTAAAAGCTCAAATTAATCATTTAACTGCTGTAAACAAATTCTTTTACTATTTCATCACTAAGAGCTTCATAACAAAGCCCCGTAAACATAAATTATAAATTAAGGAACACCTCAATATTTTTTTTAAAAAATTCAGTTTTATTAACAAGATAATATAGAGCAAGACATTATTTTTGGATGAATGTTTAAACTCATTCAGCAAAGATATCATCATCCAAACTACAAGAGAGGAGATTCCATCTGAACATTAGGAAGAACTTCCTGACTGTGAGAGCCGTTCAGCAGTGGAACTCTCTGCCCCAGAGTGTGGTGGAGGCTCCTTCTTTGGAAGCTTTTAAGCAGAGGCTGGATGGCCATTTGTCAGGGGTGATTTGAATGCAATATTCCTGCTTCTTGGCAGGGGGTTGGACTGGATGGCCCATGAGGTCTCTTCCAACTCTTTGATTCTATGATTCTATGATCCATATTCTCAAATCAAAAGTCAATAGGATTAATAACAGAATGATAGTTTAAAAAAACTTTTACAGGGAATTTCTGCTATCTCTATGACAAAAGGAAAGGTTAAGGAGGCGGGTTTAAGGAGTCAATTTATGAAGACTGCAGATGTTTATGAAAATGACCTGCCTCTAAAAAAAAATAATCTAACGTTATTTCCTAGCAGGTTCCTCCAAGATACTTTGACAGATTGTTTTACCTACAATTTGATGGCAAGATCAATTTTTTACCAGTTTTGTCCATTTTTATATCACCCCAGGATTTCAGCCTTGAATGGTTTGCTTTCCATCACTAAATAACCTAGGTGCTTTGAATGAGTCAGTGTGCCTATGCTTTAATCTGCAGCTAGAATAGTAATCTTATTTTCATGCATCTGGAAGAGACTAACAGTTATACCCTGCAGACAGGTTCTGACCTGCAACATTCTGAAACATGATCTCTTTCCCAAGTTGTTTGACAGAGTAGAAACTAAAGATACATATATGATTCTCTCTGGAAAGGTAAGAGCTGAAGGCAAAGGTTAACATGACAGAAGAAAGAAGAGCAGATCTTATCTAAATCAATTTGGATAAAACATAATCAGCCAGTATTTAGAGAAACTTATAAACAGTTATACAATGAGTCAGCTGTGACTTGGAAAACAATTCAGCTATTCAACATTGGTTTAAAAAAAAAGCAATAGCAGCTACAACTCTGAACTCTAGAAAGGAAACAGAATAAGGAAAACATAGGAGGAACACCTTTTTATTACAACATTATGCAAATGCTGCCTTAAAAATGAGCGAATTGTGTAATATTTCACAGAAAAATCTCCAGTGTAGAAGTTGTTAGAGATAAGTAACTATTTTAAGAGTCATAATTACATAAAATATGTGAATACATAACGATATAAAATTACAATAAATACAAACACAATGACAATGGGTGGGCTACATGTAGTGATTAAAAGAAAAACTAATTAAAACTTATTAAAAACTCATTAAAATTAATTAAAAACTTGGGTGAGATAAAGGAGAAGCAGGTTATTTGCAGAGGAGGGCTCATTATAGCGGGGGTTGTGGAATCAAACTTTCCCACAAGGGGGGGGGGGTACGTGTACTCCAATGACAGAACATTGAGGCTAAACAATAGTGTGAGGTTATATACCTACTCACCAAAGGCGCAGCGGAAGAGCCGGGTTTTAAGGTTCTTTTTAAAGGTTTCTAGGGTAGGGGCTTTCCTAATCTCTCCAGGTAATGAGTTCCAGAGTTGGGGGGCCACAGAGGAAAAAGCTCTCTCTCTTGTACTTACAAGGCGAGCTTGTGAAACTGGCAGGGGTAAAAGAAGGGCCTCCCCAGAAGATCGGAGGGCCCAAGCTGGTTCATGGAGGGAGATACAGTCACGAAGGTAGGCGGGTCCCAAGCCATTTAGGGCTTTATAGGTGATAACCTGCACCTTGAATTGGGACTGGGAAATAAATGGCAGTCAGTGGAGCTCCTTAAACAGGGGGGTTGACCACTCCCTGTAAGTTGGCCCAGTTATTAATCTGGCTGCCAAACGTTGGACAAGTTGTAGTTTCCGAACCGTCTTCAAGGGTAGCCCGACGTAGAGTGCATTACAGTAGTCCAGTCT